GCTCAAACCACTCACACCACTGACACGTGCTTCAAAGCCCTCACTGACGAGTGGTTTGCACGTGGCAATGTCGGCACCCCACCTCGATGGAACACCATCTTCCCGCGCCCCTCTCTCCATGACATACGCACTCTCCCCGCCTATCAACCCTCCACCCCTAATCTTCACAATGTCCTCACTGAGCATCTCCCACCTCATATCCTCCAGCAAGTTCAACATCTTCTCCTTTCATCCCCTCCCACTCCCACCCCTCCCATTCCCCCTACACCCACACCTCCTCCTCAAGCCCCTTCCCCCCACTACCCTCCGCCCTATACCGGCTGGCCATACCCTCCTTATCCACCTCCTCAATACGGCCCTGTGCTTCCTACACCTGCTACCACTCCTACTGACCAGCCCTCCTCCTCCAATCCTCCTGGCTTCACTCCATTCCCTTCTGCTGGATTCATAGGACACGTTAGCACAACTTCTCCTGCTCCTTCAATGTATGCCCATGCTATTAATGAGACATCCTTCCAGTATTCCGCTTCTTCCTCCTCCTCTGCACCCCTTGAGTTCATTCTTGACAGTGGGGCTACACACACCGTCCTTCGGGACGCAGGCACACTAGTCCCCCTCCCCACTCCCTCCACCATTTACGGAGCCGACTCCAGCTTCACCATCACAAGTCGACACACCTCCACTCTCCCCTGCCCCATCTTCCCCTCAGGCACAGTCACAGGTCTACACGTCCCCTCACTACGCAACAATCTGGTAGCACTTCGTGACCTCCCAAGGCTAGGTGTCACCGCCATCTTCCCCGGTCATGCACTTCACTGCGACCTCTTTCACACCATCACTGGTCGCTTCATCTGTCGCATTCCCCTCTGCCCACACACAAACATGTACACATACCGCACCCCTCGCCCCTCCATCCAGCAACTCACCACTCCCACCTTACTTCCCTCTCACTCCCTTCCCCCCTCCCCTTTCCCCCCCCTCCTCCCCTCCCCTTCTTCCCCCCTTCCCTCCCCTCCCTCCCCCCCCCCTCCCTCCTCCCCCTCCCCTCCCTCCTCCCCCTCCTGTCACTGTCGTGACCTTACCCATCCCGCCGTCCTCCTTCACCACCGCTTGGGTCATCCCAACTTTGCCACCCTTCGTCAATCTGTGTCCTCTCAACTTCTTGACGGACTTCCCCTCACCCTCCCCCCTCTCCCCCCGTCGCCCTCCCCTCCCTGCTCAGTTTGCGCTGAAAGCAAACTAAAGCAAGCCCCCCACAAGAGTCATCCCTCCTTTTCTCCCCAACCCATTGATCTCGTCCACATGGACCTCTGGGGCCCCAATCCTTCCCCCACCAGGCAAGGTCATCGCTACCTGCTCATACTGGTAGATGACCACAGCCGGTACTCCACTGTCTCCCTCCTTCGCAAGAAGGCGGAGGCCCTGGCTGCCATTATTGCCTGGGCTGAACAAGCACGCACCCATTTCAAACGCCCTGTCTCTCGCTTCCATTCCGATGGCGGCGGTGAGTTCCTTAACCGGATGCTTTCCTCCTACTGCTCCACCCATGGCATTATCCACACCTACACCCTTCCTCATTCCCCTCAGCAGAATGGTGTGGCGGAGAGCAGGGTTCGGGAGGTCACCAAGACCGCTCGATGCCTCATGGTCCATGCCTCCTGCCCGCCTTCTCTGTGGGGTTATGCTATCCTCCACGCCGCCATCCTCACTAATCTCTACCCCCATCCCTCCCGGCCCACCACTACTCCCACTGAACTCTGGACCTCCACTAAACCCGACATCTCACCCCTGCGCGTGTGGGGCTCCAAGGCGTATGTTCTCATACACCCTGAGGACCGTTCACGTGCAGCTGGGAAACTTGCCTCCCGCACCCTCCCCTGCATATTCATTGGTCATAACCCCATCTCCCCGGATTACCTCTTCCTCCATCCCCCCTCAGGTCGTCTCATTCGTAGCCGGGATGTGGTTTTTGATGAAGCCAACCCGTACTACACCTCCCCCTCTGCCCCTAACCCCCTCCCCCTAACCATCCGTCCTCTTCTCTGGACTGACACCGTCCACACCCCTCCCCTTCAGCCTCCCCCCACCCTAGTCATACCCGCACCCCCACCCCCTCCCCCCTCTCTCCCAACCTCCTCAGGGGACATCCTTGATCCGGCTGCCCCTCCCTCCCCTTCCGCTGACCCTCCCCCTCCCTACCCATCCCCTCCCCCTCCCTCCCCACCCCCTCCCCCTCCCCCTCCCCCTCCCCCCCCCCCCCCTCCCCCTCCCCCCTCCCAACCTCCATTACCTCCTCCCTCCCCATCTCCTCCTCCGCCCCCTCCCCTTCCACCATCTCGGCCCCTACTTCCCTCCCCTCCTCTGCTCCTTCGTCATTACCCTCACACCCGCTCCACAGTCCCCATCCTTGGTCCCCCACGGTCCAATCACCTCTCCCTCCAGTCTCTCACATCCATTCCACTCCACCACTCTAGCACTTTCCCTCTCCCCCGCACCAGCCCCTCAGGTTCACACACCAGCCGCGCTCCCGTCTCCCTGCCCCTCACGGCAACTCAGCGCAGCAGAGCAGCATTGCAGCTGTCTCCTTGCCCCGACCCTCGGCGCAGCAGAGCAGCAGTGCAGCTGTGTTCCCGCTCCAGCCTGACTCTCCAGCGCAGCTGCCTTGCATCTTCACCGCCTCCTCTTCCTCCTCCTCTCTCTCCGGACCTCTATGAAGACTCTCACTATGAACTCCTTTTCCTCCACCTCCTCTCACCCACCATCGCCCCTGTCGTCCGCACTATGGCTGGAACTACAGTTCTTCTCTTCTCCAACACCCCCACCATCTACGAACCCACCACCTATGAGCAAGCAATTGCATGTCTTGACGCACCTCTTTGGATCGAGGCCATGGTCAAGGAATGCAACGCCTTCATCCACAACCGCTCTTTCCTCGACGTCCCTCGCCCCTCCAAGCACAACGTGGTCAAAGGCAGGTGGCTCTTCCGAGTTAAACTACTCCCTGGTGAAGCTCCTGTCTACAAGGCTCGGTATGTGGCAAAAGGCTTCACACAGACCTATGGCTCGGACTTCTTCAAAACCTACTCACCTACCGCCACTCCGCCAGTCATTCGCGTGTTCCTGGACTTTGTTGGCAGACGCGGGATGCTCCTCCACTCCATGGATGTCACCACAGCCTTCTTACAAGGCGACCTCCACGAGCTCATTTTCTTGGAACGTCCAAAGGGCTTCCACGCTCCTCATGACCCTGCCACCGTCTGGAAACTCCTGCGCCCTGTCTATGGGCTTAAACAAGCACCTCGAGAATGGCACGCTAAACTCTCATCCACCCTTCGCGCGCTTGGTTTTCGCCCCTCCCGTGCTGCCTCCTGCCTCTTCCTTCGCCTGACCCCGTCACCCTTCTTCATACTCGTCTACGTCGATGACATGCTGCTTGCAGCCGACACAGCTGCTGAACTTCAGGAGGTCAAGGATGAGCTGCAGCACCGTCTCGCCTGCAAAGACCTAGGGGAAGTCCGCAACTACCTCGGCATGGAGATCACCCGTGACCTCACTGCCAAGACTATCACCCTCTCCCAGTCATTCTACATCGGGAAGGTGCTTGAGAGGTTCGGCATGTCCAAATCCAAACCCATCCCCACGCCACTTGCATTCGGGCATCGGCTTTCCCCTCCAGCCACTCCTGTCACCTCCCCTCATCCCTATGCAGAACTCGTTGGGGCCCTGATGTACGCCATGGTCTGCATTTGCCCCGACCTCGCATACCCCGTCAGCGTCCTGGCGCGGTTCGTTGGCACCGGCAGGCATGGTGAGGAGCACTGGAAGGCGGCCATGCGTGTCCTGCGCTACCTTCAAGGCACAAAGGACTATGGCCTCACTCTTGGTGGTGTGAACCCACCTGTTCTTCACGGCTTCAGTGACTCATCTTGGGCAGACGCGCAGTCGGACCATCGCAGCTCTCAAGGATATGGCTTCTCACTCGGGAGCGGCCTCATCAGCTGGCGCTCCACTCGCTCCTCCTCCGTCGCCCTCTCGTCCTGCGAAGCCGAGCTGTACGCAGTCACAATGGCGGCTCAAGAGGCACGCTGGCTTAGCTATCTACTCACCGACCTTGGCTCACCACAGCCCTGCCCCACTTTGTGGTGTGACAACGATAGTACCATCCACCTCACCAAGGAGGCCGTCTTTCATGGTCGCTCCAAACACATCGAGCTTCGCTACTACTTTGTTCGCGACCTTGTGCAAGATGGTCACATCACTGTTCGTAAAATCGACTCGTCCGCCAACCTTGCTGATCTCTTCACCAAGGCTCTCCACCGCTCTAACCACTCTGCGCTCCTGCGCCTTCAGGGACTCGCTCCCCGCGGTGGCTGATTCAGGGGTTGTTGCGTTCTCTCATCCAAAGCTTATGGATTTCTGTAGGTTAAGGGGTTGTGTCAGATTATCATCCTCATTGTAACATGCATCATCACATAAGCTTCGGTTAGAGATAGGCACCCAAACTTAGTTTGGGTGCACAACTAGGGTTTACCCTAGTTTGAGGTTGGAACCCAACCTTGACCCAATTATTGGGCCCCCAAGGTTGGGTTGGGAGATTATTGGACCCCCAATAATGTTGAACCATTTTTGGTCAACATTATTGGTCCCACCAATAATTCCTCAACCCAACTTATTGGTGGGGGCCAATAATGTTGGCATGGCTCCTACATCCTAGCTCTACTATGTAAACCCATGCCCTTCCTAATGAAACTATCGGTTCTTCTTACATCTTTCTCACACTCCATTCCGTACCTTTCCTCCAAAATCTCATCACCCGTCTCTCCTTCTGTCCCCATCAATACCACTCACCCAGGCATCTTACCCAGAACCAGCTCTCAGGCCCTCGACCCCCTCCATTCCGTACCTTTCCTCCCCAATCCCCTCACTCACCCCTCCCCTCTCATCCCCTCTCCTCTCCAATACCACTCACCAGGCATCTCACCAAGAACCAGCTCTCAGGTTCAAAACCCACCGCCGTCAGCTGTCTCTCCTCCCTCACCTTCCTGTAAGCCATCCTCCATCCATGTGTAAGTATACCACTTTTGAGACGTCTCAAAAAATGTCCTCCACCCACCCTCCCCTTCCAGTGACCCATCTGCAATGAAAGCAATCGGCCTGCCTTTCGTCCCAAGGCACTGCACTCATGCCTCGTGACACAGCTCAGTAACCGAGTTGACTTTTGAGTCGACTCAAAAGTCAACTCAAAAGTCGACTCAAAAGTCAACTCCCAAGGCACTGCACTCATGCTTCGTGACACAGCTCAGTAACTGGCGGTTCGTCTCTTCATAGCCACCTCAGGATCCGACCTCTTCGTTTGCTCACCTGAAAACGAGAAAGTCAGCGAGTCATCGGACCTTATTCACACAGCATGCCTTATTCATCGTTTGGTTGGAACTTGGAACCAATACACGAATGTGAGGTCCCATGCTTCGTAGCTAGGAACGTTTGGTTGGAACTTGGAACCAACCACACCAGGCTAGGTTGGGCCCTAAAGCCAGGCGAGGCTAAGTGGCTTTGAGTCGACTCCAAGGGTACCAACCAACCAAGCATTGGCATTGCGCCGAATCATGCTAACAGGTCAGCTCAAGTGTTTGTCGGAATCGTGCTCTTGTTCGTCCCCATCTTCGTGCTGCCGCCTTTGCTCCCTTCTGCCGCTCTGCCTTGCTTTGCCTGCCTTGGGATGGCTCCCACTCACCTCTCTGGCCTCACTCACCTCTCTGGCCTCACTCACCTCTCTGGCCTCACTCACCTCTCTGGCCTCACTCACCTCTCTGGCCTCACTCACCTCTCTGGCCTCACTCACCTCTCTGGCCTCACTCACCTCTCTGGCCTCACTCACCTCTCTGGCCTCACTCACCTCTCTGGCCTCACTCACCTCTCTGGCCTCACTCACCTCTCTGGCCTCACTCACCTCTCTGGCCTCACTCACCTCTCTGGCCTCACTCACCTCTCTGGCCTCACTCACCTCTCTGGCCTCACTCACCTCTCTGGCCTCACTCACCTCTCTGGCCTCACTCACCTCTCTGGCCTCAGTCACTCTCATCGCCTAGTTTGTGAGATATTCCCACTCCCACCTGAGCTTAGCTGCCCTGCTGGTTACCTTGGTGGGTAGCCTGATAGGCAACAACACTCCACTCAACGATCAAACAAACAGGAGAAGGTGAGATATACATTAGCGTGTCAAGTTTATGGTAACCCCGTCTTGGTTCGCACGATAGCCCCGTCTTGGATCGCACGATAGCCCCGTCTTGGATCGCACGATAGCCCCGTCTTGGATCGCACGATAGCCCCGTCTTGGATCGCACGATAGCCCCGTCTTGGATCGCACGATAGCCCCGTCTTGGATCGCACGATAGCCCCGTCTTGGATCGCACGATAGCCTCGTCTTGGATCGCACAATAACTCCGTCTTGGATTGCACATCTCTCAATGTGCGGAATCGAGGCACGGCTTCACCTTTTGATTGGCTGCCGTGATTGTCTCCCCTTGGTTTCTTCCCTCCTTCGCGCCCCGGTCCCAAACTTCTTCGCACCACTTTCTACATTTCCCACCTACATCACCAATACTCTGAATATTGCAACTACAGTCTACACCTGTTCAAGATAGTGTCTTTTATATATCTGAGTAATCTATTTAATCTGTGACAGTTTATTCACGTATGTGCATCGCCCAACATGGGGCACCCATGCATTTCTCGTCCTTCCCCCTCCTCCCCCACCCCCTTTCCCCACCCACCAACACCCAACCAATTCCTCCTTCTCACTATGGCCCACCTTGCCTCACTCCGCTGACAGAGGCTTGGGATACAACAGCTTATCTGGCTCCCTTCCAGAGACGATAACCACACTCTCTAACCTTAAGATCCTGTGAGCATACCTTGGGAGCACTTAGCTAAGAGTCACCTCAAGTTCATTAGCCACCTTTGCCATTTTCTCTTACTTGTCTTGTAGACTAGGTGTGGGAACGATGGTGGAAGGATACTGTTGATCATAACAGGGACAACAGAAGACTGCAAGAAGGTCCTATTCTGGTTCATTACAAGTCCTCGTGGTGTCACCCCTTGTGTCATCCCTTGTGTCACCCCGTGTTTCACACTTGGTGTCACCCATTGTGTCGTCCATTGTGTCACCCATGTGAACCATTGTGTCACATGTTGTGTCGGCCAGTGATCTCCAGCGCAACAGCTTACAGGGCGACTGGCCTTCTTTCATCTTCACCATCACTTCACTCACCGCCCTGTACGCTCTTTTTCTCTCCCTTTTCTCTCGTTTTCTCTCGTTTTGTCTTGCTTTCTCTCTCTTTATATCTCTTTCTCTCTCTTTCTTCCACCAGTTATCTCCAGCCAGTCCTTTTCTTTCGTCTCCACCATGACTCCACTCACCCCCTGTACGCTCACTTTCTCTTGCTTTCTCTCATTTTCTCGCGCTTTCTCTTCCATCATCTCACTTTGTCGCCCTTTTTCTCCCCTTTTCCGTTCATCTCCAATTCAATCCTTCTTTCGTCTCCACCAGTTATCTCCATTTTTGCCATTTCTCTCCCTCCCTCCCTTTCTCTCTATCCCCACTCCCTTCTGAGACTTGATGTAACTTGTAAGCTTGATGTTTTCTCCTGCTTCCCATTCATCCACTTATAATCCCTCCCTCCAACCCTCCCTCCCTCCATCCCTCCCTCCCTCCCTTCCTCCCTCCCTCTGTCCCTCCTTCCCTCCCTCCATCCTCCTTCCCTCTCTCCCTCCTCCCTCCCTCCCTCCCTCTGTCCCTCCTTCCCTCCCTCCATCCTCCTTCCCTCTCTCCCTCCTCCCTCCCTCCCTCCCTCCCTCCCTCCCTCCCTCCCTCCCTCCCTCCCTCCCTCCCTCCCTCCTTCCCTCCCCCTCCCTGTCCCTCCCACCCTCCCTTCGCTAATACCTCTCCTTCCACTCACAAGCGATATTAGCCACAACAACTTGTCAGGGTCCCTGCCAGCATCCATCACCGCACTCACTAACCTTTATGTCCTGCAAGCAAGCGCCTCGTGAATTCTAACTTAGAATCTCTAAGCCACAACTGACTGACTCTCTGGGCCCCTGCCAGCATGCATCACCGCACTCACTAACCTCTATGTCCTGTAAGCACCCCATAAATGCAAAAATTACCGCACAGCAAAATCTCAGTGGCCCTACCAGCATCCATACTGCACTCTCTAATCTCTATGTCCTGTAAGCACCCAAGAAAATATAGCTTATAATCTCGAAGGCACAACCGACTCTCAGGGTCCCTACCAGCATTTATCACCGCACTCACTGACCCCTATGTCCTCTGGGTTTCCAATCCTTATAGGCCTCACCTTGAGAACTCTCCAAATTGACTTCTGTATTCTCTTCGCAAACCCTTAACCCCTTACTGCCAGCCCCCCACCCTCAACCCCCCTTGGGTAACTCGCTGCTTGCTTTTGAGTCGACTCAAAAGCTTACTGCCACCCCCCCACCTTCAACCCCCCTTGGGTAACTCGCTACTTGCCTATCCAAAATCGACTCCCAATACACCCCCCCATCCGTCACCATCTCAAATTTTAATTTCACTTGGTAACCACCCTGTCCTGTTGTCCCGTCCCCACCATCCACCACCATATTTTTTTACATTTGCTGCCAGCAACGTGAACAGCAATGGGCTCACGGGTTACCTCCCACCATCGCTCGCTACTCTAACCAACCTGCAGTTCCTATGAGGCGGCCTCTGTGCTTGATGAATTGAGGGTACAATCCTACCTCGTGTCAGAGGTCCAAGTCACTCACTGGTTGCCTCGCCTCTCACACCATCACTCGCTACTCTCACCAACCTGCAGTTCTTGTGAGGCGGCCTCTGTGCTTGATGAGTTGAGAGTCCCCTATCAAAATCAGCTCATTTGCCCAAGGATAAGTGGGTGATTTCAATTGCAACCTGATTCCAGGCAATTCTGCACATAATTCTGCAGACTGCTGCACAACAAGGCTTAAAAACCAGATCAAACCTTGGGCAAATAAAATGAATTTCAGAGGGGAGTCTGGAATATGTGTGATGAGAGTCTCCTATAAAAATCAGCTCATTTGCCCAAGAATAAGTGGGTGCTTTCAGTTGCAACCTGATTCAAGGCAATTCTGCACAGAATTCTGCAGACTGCTGCACAACAAGGCTTAAAAACCATATCAAACCTTGGGAAATTAAGATGAATTTCAGAGGGGGTCTGGGATATGTGTGATGAGTGTCCCCTAGGCTTGAGCAAGGTGGCGAACACCTGTTCGGTTCGCCTCGAACGTGTTCGAGGCGAACCGAACAGGTTTTGTTTTTCAGCTTAAATCGTTCGCCCGAACGTGTTCGATGTTCGCCCGAACACGTTCGTGTTCGTGGCGCTGCTGCAAAACGCCTCGTGTCGAACACGAACGTGTTCGAGGTTCGCCCGAACACGCCTCCACAGGCGAACAACGAACACCTGTTTTTGGCTAAACTGTTTGCCGAGCCGAACACTGCTCGGTTCGGCAAAAGGACGTGTTCGAGAAGGGGCGAACACGAATATGTCCGTGTTCGCCCTTTGCTCATCCCTAGTGTCCCCTATGAAAATCATATCATTTGCCCAAGGCAAAGCGGTTGATTTTACAAGAAACATGGTTCCAGGCATTTCTGCACAGAATTTAGCACCCGTCTGCAGAATATAACATGAAAAGCATGGCAAACCTTGATGAAATGAAGTGAAAACTGGATGGGGATCAGGACTAGGTGTGATGACAGTGCCCTATCAAAATGGGCTCATTTTACCAAGGAGAAGTGGGTGATTTCACCTGACACATCACACCAGGCAACTCAGCACTAACTTCCTTGCAACAAAAAGCCCACCAAATCAGTTTGCATAGAGCTGAAAATGTTCAGGGGGGCTGGAACAAGTGTCATAACACTAACAATGCAAAAAAATATGGTCACCACATAACACATGTGTGTGATGCCCAGAGAATGACTTTACATGTGCTATGAGCAACCTTAGTTGACCCAAAAGTGACAAAATGTAACAAATTTGACAAAATAACAAACTCATGCCCGCTAGTAGAGGACATGAAGGAGATGCTGGAAATCCATATTTGTGTGCAAATGACCAACAAATTAGGAAGTTATGAGCCAAACCATATAGAATTTAGACTTAACCATTTTGACATTCTGCTTGTCAGAATTACACCAAAGTGTCAACAACAAAGTTCTTGTACAAATACTGTAGAACAGTGGTTGCGACGTCGCTTTTGTGCGACCGTCGATAATCCAAACCGGTAGTGTAACCACTCTTGCACCCATTTCGTTGCGCCATCAGGTGGTTTGGATTTTGTAAGGTCCAACACCCTTCTGCGCCGAATCCGAGTCAAATCCGAGTCAAATCGTCTCGCCACGGGCAAAATGGAGTTTTGCCAAAAAAAATGAATCCCGGTCGAAGCAGAGATCTGAGTGCTGCTTCCCCCTTTGGCCCGCCCTTCCCCCGTCAGGTGGTTTGGATTTCTAGGGGCTTTCGAGCCCTGCAATTGATCGAGAATAACTGCGATCCGGCTGATTGCAGAGAGAGCCGCATGTTTCGACGACAGGGGATAACAGTAATCTGCAGCATGGTGCGGCTCGAAAAGGCTGTGCGACGGAGTTGTTGCAACAAACAAGGTGTCGGATGTAACCTGTGCAGCGGCTGACTGCGGTGCTAGATTGCGAATGCTAACTGCTTTATTGCGAATGCTAACTGCTTCTGACGATCGGGGATTCGTGCTGCAATCAGCAGTCCTAGCGGAAAGAAAGGCTGAACATTGTGGAATACACCATATTCGCGGTAGTTTCACACCCTTTAAGACATACCCTGCGGGTACATGCCCTGGGTACAAACTTTCTCACAGGTTAATTTACTGCGAATATTGAATAGCTGGGTAAGTGTTCCGTAACCCGGTCACAAATAGACAAAGATCAGAGAAAACTTCAGGGGCACCCCCCCCACCTCCATCCTCACTTGGAACACATAGTGCAATTTAAAGAGACTCCATCTTCGTTGAAGGAGCCAGAATCGGTATGGG